TAAGAACATAAGAGAAGCCATATTGGATCAGGCCAATGGCCCATCCAGTCCAACACTCTGTGTCACACAGTGGCCAAAGCCCTGGTGCCACCAGGAGGTCCACCAGTAGGGCCAGAACTCCAGAAGCCCTCCCACTCTTGCCCCCCAAGCACCAAAAAGACAGAGCATCACTTGCCCCAGACAGAGTGTAGTGTAGTAAGGACCAGGCGGTAGGTGATGGGAAGGAACTCAGCCTGAGACGCTGAAGAGCTGCCGCCGGTCTGAATGGAGAAGACTGACCTTGGCGGTCCAGTGGTCTGATTTGGTACAAGGCCGCTTCCTGTGGTGTTCATATGTGTTCTGGCGCGGTTGAGGGGAACGTAGGTGGCAGGAACGTTCCCTTTTTACAAAAAAAGTACTAGAAAGTTAGTTCTATGTGGAGAGATGTCAGGTGTACAAGAACGTACGTCCCATCTCACACAGTGGCCAACCAGTTCCTCTGGAGGGCCAACACCAGGGCACAGAGGCTGCGGCCTTCCCTGATGTGCCTCCTGGCTCTGGGATTCAGTTCCTCTGGAGGGTCAACAACAGGGCATGGAGGCCACGGCCTTCCCCTGAGAAGAACCTCAGAAGAGCCCTGCTGGGTCAGACCAGGGAGGGTCCCTCCAGTCCAGCATCCCGTCTCTCACAGTGGCCAACCAGTTCCTCTGGAGGGCCAACAAACAGGGCAGAGAGGCCGTGGCCTTCCCTGATGTTGCTTCCTGGCTCTGGGATTCAGAGGATGTGGGCTGGAATGTTAAGGGGAAAGCCTGGACAACCTTTGAGGGGACCGGCTCCCCCCCCCCACTCCCTGATTTCCAGCGGAAAAATTCCCCCTGGACCAAAGTGTTTGAATGATGAGTTGGGGAGCACGGCTGCGCGAAGGCAGCGGGAAAACCTGCCTCGCAAACTCTCTTGCTTTTCATGAGCAAAACGAGGGTTCTCCTTACGCCCCCCCCCCCGGGCCTGATTCAAGCCACTGCATCCCAGCTTGGGAAACTAGAGAAAGGCCTGGAGCCAGAGCCGGCTTTGAAGAACAGCCTTCCAGCGGCAAGGACTGCCTCTATAAGGCTGTTTCTAGATCGTTCCAAGGGTGTGGGTTACACCCGGGGGGGGGGGGGGGGTTCCAGGAGGCACCTGAGAGATTGCCTTTCCTTGCAGAGTCCATAACATCATCTCTTGGGTTGTGTACGAGGTCTGGTGGTCCCTGCAACTAGAGCTGCAGTGCAACCAGTGGGGCAGCCCCACGCTTACAGCACATGCCGGGTTGCCTTCCCAGGGCAGAGCAGAGGAATTCAGGCTGTGTATCCTAATGGCTAGAGCTTGGGGGCCCTGAGACAGCAAGTCGCAGTTTTCCCTAGCAACCCTGACAGTGCAGCTGTCATGAAGGGAGGCTCTGGCTTTACTATACGGCAACAGGAACTCTGCACATGATCAGAGGCACTGTTAACACATCACACATTCCAAGGGTTTCAGTGGCAGCACGGAAAGTCGGGCTCCTGGGCCAAGCCTTGCTACCTTTTAGGACCTCGAGGTCCTAACTGATTCTGATTTTCAGGACTGACTTCCTTTTTACTCAAAGGTAGTTGTTGTTTCTTTCTTTTTTGGAAAAAGCCAAAGTTCCAGACCCAAAGCAAAGGAAGGGTCGGCCTTTTATGGACATAAATTTTAGCATATGCAGATTTCAAAATAAGCTATGTGGTAGAAGACAAGATGGGGGGGGGGGAATACCGATTCACATGTGCAGAATGTCAGGAAAGGAGCACAGCACCAATGTGCAAACCACAATGGGCGTCCGATGGAGGTTCTCTGCCTCTTCCTCGGGAGGATCCAGTTCGCAGCCGCCTGTTCGCTTGACAACTGTTCGTATGAACGAACCATGTGGAATATTTGTTTCAAGAACAGTCCGGTGCTTCTCTGCCGAATCAGTTTGGACATTCAGTGATAACGTCAGGGCGGGAGGGTGGGGGCTGTGCATAAGTGAAGGAGCCAAAGTTGTGCGA